CCGCGCCTCCCGCCACCGCTCCCCGGTGCCGTAGACGATGCCTGGGCGGGTGGGAGTCATGACCGGGGTGGAGAGAGGGGACAAGGAAACGTTATTGACTTGCTCCCATAACAGAAGAGCGAGGGGCCCGCCAATGAAATGAAGAGGTGGCAGGTTTAAAACGAACAAACGGGAGTTTTTCTTCACGCAGCGCACTGTCAACCTGTGGAACTCCTTGCTGGAGGATGTGGTGAAGAACCGGACTTTAACGAGGTTCGAAAAAGCGGGGTGGAGAGAGGGGACAAGGAAACGTTATTGACTTGCTCCCATAACAGAAGAGCGAGGGGCCCGCCAATGAAATGAAGAGGTGGCAGGTTTAAAACGAACAAACGGGAGTTTTTCTTCACGCAGCGCACTGTCAACCTGTGGAACTCCTTGCTGGAGGATGTGGTGAAGAACCGGACTTTAACGAGGTTCGAAAAAGAGCTAGATAGATTCATGGAGGTTCAGCCCATCAGTGTCTGTTAGCCAGGATGGGCAGGGATGGGTCCCTAGCCTCTGTTTGCCAGAGGCTTAGAATAGGTGACGGGAGGGATCGCTGGATGATTCGCTGTTCTGTTCACTCCCTCTAGGGTGCCTGGCATTTGCCGCTGTCAGCAGACAGGACCCTGAGCTGCATGGACCTTTGGTCTGAGCTATCTGGCTGCTCTTAAGTGCCCCACACTGGACTCCCGGCCCACCCCGCCCTAACCGCTAAAGAGGGTGGTCTCTTGTAGGAAGGGGAAATTGATGGGACTCACCCGCTAGCAAGGCTCAGTGGTCAGGGGGCGGGGTGGGGAGGGAGGCTGCCTGGGCTCTGCCACAGAACTTCTGTGTGGCCTTAGCCATGTCTCTTCCCCTCCCACTCCTTCGGTGAACTTGCTGAGAGGCTAGTGGTTAGAGCAGGGGGCTAGGAGCCAGGGCGCCTGGGATCTCTCCTGAGCTCAAGGGAGGGGAGCGGGGGCTAGTGGTTAGCGCAGGAGGCTGGGAGCCAGGACTCCTGGGTTCTCTTCTGAGATCGGGGAGGGGAGTGGGGGCTAGTGGTTAGAGCAGGGGGCTGTGGCCAGGTTCCAGCTCCTGCCGTCGGGGTGGACGGTGCCTGAGCCGCCCGCCTGCTTTCCTCACCGTTTCCGTTACTCCACATCTGCACGGCAGGGAAATCCCCCCGGCCACTGAACTCCTCGGCCTTCTCGATCAGGGCTTCCTTCAGCACCTGGTAGCCAGCGAGCACCACGCAGGGCCGGGAGCCCAGGTGGAAGGTGTAGATGGGCCCGTAGGTCTCGCTGAGCTGGAGGGGAGGCAGGGAGGCGGCTGTGAGGCCCCCCCCAAAGCTCAGCGGTCGGTCAGGGGGCAGGGCGGGGCGGGGAGGGAGGCTGCCTGGGCTCTGCCACAGAACTGCTGTGTGGCCTTAGCCATGTCTCTTCCCCTCCCATTCCTTCTGTGAACTTGCTGAGAAGCTAGTGGTTAGAGCAGGGGGCTGGGAACCACGACTCCTGGGTTCTCTTCTGAGCTCATTGGAGGGGAGTGGGGGCTAGTGGTTAGAGCGGGGGGCTGGAGGCCAGGACTCCTGGGTTCTCTCGCCAGGCCTGAGAAAGGGGGCATGTGGTGGGGATTAGGAGTCCTTATTTCTCTCTCAGCTCTGCGAGGGGAGTGGGGACTAGTGGTTAGACTGGGGGAGCGTGTCAGCGTCCGGGTTCCCCTGGGGCACGACCAGTTCCAGCTGGGTGGCCGGCACAGTCCCGGTTCGGAGCCCCCTGTCCGCGGGGATCGGCGTGTTCGGTGTCTCCGAACTCCACGAGGGCTGGGAGGCTCCGGGCCTAGGCTGCATCCTGCCTCCCCTGCCCGCGGCTCTGAGGCCGGACGGGAATCGCTCCTGCCGGACTCACCTTCTGCAGGGACTTGATCAGCTCTTTGACCTCCACCTGCAGCATGTTCCCCAGGAACGGGAGGGGGGTGGGCCCGGGGGGCAGGTGGCCCTGGGTTTTCTTCCTCCACGGGGCGAGGAGGAGCCAGGCCATGAGACACAGGGCCAGGAGGAGGCTGAGGGTCGCGCTGAAATCCATCCCGGAGCCGGCCTCTCTCCTCAGCCTCCCTTCGCGTGCGGGGCCGGGAAAGCTGACACGGCCCTGTCTATATAGCCGCCCTCCGGCCAGGGCCTGGCTGATAACACCCGTCTTTGCATCACCGCTCTGGGTAAACACCAGCAAATCGAGCCAGCTGGCAAAATTTGGAGCTTTATCTCTTGCGCCATCCAGCGTGCCTGCCTGAGACCCCTCCCCATGGGGGCCTTGAACCCACAGCCTCGCCCGAGCCCGGAATTCCACCACCCGGGCGGCTAGTCGTGACGGGACAGTGCGGGCTAGTGGGAAGAGACCCCCCGAGGGGTATTGCCTCCCTGCGATTCATACGGATCTAGGGCAGGAAGGCCTAGGTGGGACCGGCCCTGGGGAGGCCACGGCTGGAATGGGGCATCCCATTCTGGCCCCCCACTCCAGACAGGACGTGGGCGCATTGGAGAGGGGCCAGCGGAGGGCGACCAAAATGATTCAGGGGCTGGAGACTTATGAGGAGAGGCCGAGGGATTGGGGCTTGTTCAGTCTGCAGAAGAGAAGAGCGAGGGGGGATTTGGGAGCAGCCTGCAGCTCCCTGCAGAGGGGTCCAAAAAGGCTGGAGAGAGGCTGTTCTCAGGGGGGTAGAACGAGGAGCGATGGGCTCACCTTGCAGCATGTTGGGGGGTCTAGGTTGGAGATTAGGACAAATGATTTCCCCAGGCGGGTGGGGAAGCGCTGGGCTGGGTTCCCAAGGGAGGGGCTGGAATCTCCGTCCCTAGGGGTGTTTCAGTCCCGGCTTGACCAAGTCCTGGCTGGGCTGATGGAGTCGGGGCCGGTCCTGCTTTGGGCCGGGGGCTGGACTCGATGCCTCCCCCGGTCTCTGGCCATCCTGGGATTCTTGGATTCTGTGACTCGGTATCCCTGGGCCGTCCCGGACAGGGGATTGTCCAAGCTCATCTTCAAACTCGTGATGGGATTCTTGCCACGTCTCCAGGTGCCCCTGTCACTGGAGTAGCTGGTATGTCACGTGCTCCCTGCGTGCCTCAGTTTCCCCATCTGTAAACTGGAAAACCCCCGTTAGTCTGTTCAGAACGAGAGCTCTTCAGGGCAGGGGCTGGCTGGAGCTAAACGGGCCCTTCGCCTTGGCTGGCGTCCTGTAGGGGCTCCTGGCGTCATTTTACAACAATAACCCACAGGGCAAGGCAGGAGCTGGTCAAAAGAAATCAGATCTTTCCAGGCAGGGAAGTGGGATCGAAGAGATCCAAGGCGGTGGCAGATATGACAACCCAAGGCAGATCTGCTCGGCGCTGACCCCATATATGATCCCCAAGTTGCTAAGACCTCAGTGCTGCCGATGGGTTTATTTGCCTGGCGTCAGGATATCGTCCATAAACCATTTTTTGGTGGGGGGAGGAGGGGAGGCGTAATTCTAACGCCAGTCCTTTGCTAAATTTCGCTTCTCTTGGCTAATGATTAAACTTTCCCATGCCCGCGAGTGGCGTCTAAAGGACATGCATTTTATTTAAAAATCAGTGTTCACAGGCAAGCTCAGAAGCCAAACTCAGGGATGGTTCAGGTGGTACAAAAGACTTTGCTTGCCCCCGGCTTCGTTCTTTTCTTTTTATTTCTCCGTTTGCCAAACATTGTACCCAAGTCGCCCTAAAACCAAGTGGGCTTTTGTAGCTTTTCTGGCCTGCGAGTTTTGCACTGCTCTGCTGACACCCAAAGTGGGGGTTGCGTTAGCAGAGGGGGCGACGTGATCGGATTAAAACACGACCCTGCGCATCCTTGTCGCCACCAGTTCTAAGCTTGCAACAAATCTGGTGCAGAGAAGTGTCTTTGTGCGTGGGTTGCTGGTTCCGATTCTAATCGCTCTGGGCTGCATGGACAGGAGTGTGGGGAGCAGGACACGAGGGCTATCTCTACACTGGCGCGATCTTGCGCCAGAGCTATGCAAATGAGGCTAAGCATGGAATATCACCGAGCCTCATTTGCATATCTAATCACCCGCCATTTTTGCGGAAGAGGCTCTTGTGCAAGACGGAGCGTCTACACTGCCCCTTGCACAAGAAAAACCCTCTTGAGCAATGCCGTTCTTCCTGAAAATAATCAGAGTAACAGCATTGCGCAAGAGGGTTTTTCTTGCGCAAGAAAAGAGCCTCTTGCGGCTCATCAAATATGCAAATCAGGCTCGGTGATATTCCACGCTTAGCCTCATTTGCATAGCTCTGGCGCAAGATCGCGCCAGTGTAAACATAGCCGAGGAGTTGTTCTTCCGCTCTACTCCGCGCTGATTAGGCCTCAGTTGGAGAATGTGTCCAGTTCTGGGCACCACGTTTCAGGAAAGTTGTGGAGAAATTGGAGAGGGTCCAGAGAAGAGCAGTAAAATGATACGTGGTCTAGAGAACATGAGCTAGGAGGGAAGATTGAACTAGTTGGCTTGTTTCGTTTGGAAAGGAGAAGACGGAGAGGGGGGACGTGAGAGCGGTTTTCAAATATCTAAAAGGGGGTCACAAGGAGGAGGGAGAAAAATTGTTCCCCTTGGCCTCTGAGGACAGGACAAGAAGCAATGGGCTTACACTGCAGCAAGGGAGGTTTAGGTTGGACATTAGGAAAAACTTCCTGCCTGTCAGGGAGGTGTAACACTGGAATAAATTGCCTGGGGGGGTTGTGGAATCTCCGTCCCTGGAGATGTTGAAGAGCAGGTTGGACAGACGCCTGTCAGGGATGGTCTAGACGGTGCTTGGTCCTGCCGTGGGGGCAGGGGACTGGAGTCGATGGCAGGTACCGTTGTTGTATGTGAGTTATGAGTAGTGACCCTGGGCTTGTATTTCAGATGCTTGTTTCTGGGAGACACCCGCAGGGACCTTGTCCAGCCTGGTGTGAGGGGCTATTCGAGCTGAGCAGAAATACCCGACTGAGAACGGGCCGGGGTGCAGGCCCAGTCTGAGCTCCTCTCCTGGGAACGTGCCCCACAACGGCGAGTTAATAGAATGGTCTCCTGCGGAGACGTGTGTTAGTAGTTCAATCCCTGGATTGTCATTGCTCATTAGAAGTGCTGTCCTATGGGGCGGCCGGAGGGAATCGGGTCACTATGGCATTTTATTAATAGCAGCAGAACTGACTTAAATGTGGCCTGCGTGTCGCATAGTCTCACCTTCATCTTTGTATTCCTGTCCATCTGTGTGAAAGACGCGATTTGCATCTATTTGCATATAAGCTGCGGCCCTCGGCATGTGCTGGGAGTATCGTTGTGGCTCCCGGGACTTCCAAAGTGGAGTAGCCCGGGGTTAAAGGCTTGGCCCGGCGGACTCTTTTGGGTACGATTCTACGAGGCGCTGGGGAACGTGGCTGGTCCTTTGCGAGTTGGTGAGATTGGGTTTAATCCCCTCTCCCCTGTGTAAGAGGAGACGCTGAAGGGTCTGAGGGGGTCGCTCTTGGCTGGCCAGCGTGGCAGGCAGACGGTGTGCCGGGCCTGGGGCCTGACAGCGGAGGAAGCTCATTTTGGGGCTGCCCACAGCCCGGCTTCCAAGCAATTTGCCCTAAGTGGATGCTCTGAGGAGTGTCCCTCTGCAGTGCGCCCGGTTACCAGGGGGATCGAGTTCAGGGCCAACGGGTTTGAGACCCACCACCGGACACCTGCGTCTGTCTGCCCTCCCCTCCCGCCCCCAGCTTCTTCCGAGACGCGGCGTGGGGCCTCCTCTTGGGCGAGGCTCGCTCCTCCTCTCTGCTCGGGGCGTCCTCAAAGTTCCCCTGTGGGCTCAGGGGCAGACCCGGGGGAAATCACACCGGCTGGTCGCTCCAGCAGTGCCCCTGAAGAGCTCTCAACGGTCTCTCCCTGGAACCCGTCTTTCCCCCCCGCCTGTATCAAGTTAACCCAGTGCAAGCGTTGTGTGCCAACAGGGCAAGGGCCGTGGTTCGTCAATTACACGGCAGGCCCAAATGCGGCGGGGGGGGACTCAGACGGGAGTTTGAGTTATGGACCCTGCCCCCAAGGCTTGGGAGAAAACTGAATATGGGCCAAATCTTGCAAGTTGGAGTCTGTTTTTTGCTCAGCCATGATGTTATCGAGGCAGAACATAGTGAAGTCAGTGGGGAGCCAACAGGAAATCAGTGGGGAGCCAACAGGAAATCAATGGGGAGCCAACAGGAAGTTAACGGGGAGTCAACGGGAAGAGAATGGGAAATCAGTGGGTTCTCAACAGGCGTCAATGAGCAATTCCCAGCAAACCAATGGGAAGTCGATAGAAAGTGAATGGAACATTCCGGGGATATCAACAGGAAGTCAATGGGAAGTGAATGGGAAATCAATGGGGAGTCAACAGGAAATCAATGGGGCTAAATGGGAACACAATAGGGAGCCAACAGAAAGTCACTGTGACCAATAGGAAGTCAATCAGGAGCCAACAGGAAGTGAATGGGAAATCAATAGGCTATCAACAGGAAATCAATGTGGCTAAATGAGAACTCAATAGGGAGCCACAGGAAGTCCGCGTGGCCAATGGGATTTCCACAGGAGCCAACGAGGAATTAACAGCGAGCCAATGGGATGTCAACCGGAAGTCAACGAGGAAGCCCCTGGGAAGTCACCTGGAAATCAGCGAGGCCCTGGGCTGGCTAAGGGCCACGACCGGCAGCGCAATGGGACCCCAGGCGGGGCTGGTCCTACGGGCGCTCCCCAGGCCGTGCCATTGACACCACTCGACTCTGGAAGGACACCTCCCCAGGGGGTCGCCCGCAGGGATCTAGCCTGCAAAGGGTGAGCTGCGCCCTGGTTAATTATTACCTGTCCTGCTACCGGGCACTGGAGCAGCCGACCCCGCGGCAGCATGGAGCTCTCGGGAGCCCTCTCTCTCCTCTTGGGGGTCTGCGCCTCCTGTGTCCTGCTCGTGGCGGCGTGGAGATGGCATCAGGCCAGGGGGAAGCTCCCGCCGAGTCCCACGCCGCTTCCCTTCATCGGGAACATCCTGCAGCTGGACCCCAAGGCACTGGCCAAATCAGTCGTCAAGGTGAGGGGCCGTTTCCTGGGCATGACTCCGGGCTGGGCAGCACTTGGGAGGGGAGTGGGGTCTAGTGGTTAGAGTAAGGGAGGCGGAGCTAGGACTGCTGGGTTCTCTCCCACTGCTGGGAGGGGAGTGACACGCCGCTTCCCTTCATCGGGAACATCCTGCAGCTGGACCCCAAGGCACTGGCCAAATCAGTCGTCAAGGTGAGGGGCCGTTTCCTGGGCATGACTCCGGGCTGGGCAGCACTTGGGAGGGGAGTGGGGTCTAGTGGTTAGAGTAAGGGAGGCGGAGCTAGGACTGCTGGGTTCTCTCCCACTGCTGGGAGGGGAGTGAGGTCTAATGGTTAGAGCAGGGGAGACAGGGAGCTAGGACTGCTGGGTTCTCTCACATTGCTGGGAGGGGAGTGGAGTCTAGTGGTTAGAGCAAGGGAGACAGGGAGCTAGGACTGCTGGGTTCTCTCCCACTGCTGGGAGGGGAGTGAG